AAACTTGTGTCATTCTGCCAGCCTTTCATGGGATATGGCATCCGTGATCTCCCTGGTCTTGGTCTTCTAGCTGGCATTAAGGGACACTGTCCCTTAAAACAAGTACTCCTGGTCCTGGAGATTCTTTTTCTGAAGAAGCAACCAGTGATGCTACAGGTGAGTTACTCCTACCAGAAGAGGCTGTGTGTGAGAGACAGGTGTACTTTGGTTCCTCTGATGCCTTAGCTTTTAGCATTACTGATATATTTTCCATATTTTCTAGATTCTTACTGCATTTTTCATATTTTCCAGATTCTGTGCTGCATTAGTATATAACTCTGAACTTTATACAAAGTGTTAACAAGTTCTCCTCACAGCTCAGTCACACAAAACAATCCTTTTCCAGCCCCAGAACCAAGGACACCACTGCAGCTTCAGGCCCAAAAAGTACAAACAACAGGGAATTGTGGAGAGCAAACTGGGAGGATGGGACTGCATAACCTGGAGCTGTCATTGGACAATTAACCCAAATATGGAAATAGACCAAAACTTATAAAAGTGTGGAAACTCATGACCCGTTTTGCATCTTGGATGTAGCTACAGCTGGGCTCTTGCACTGCCCAAGGTGTATCCTGTGAAGGCCTTTTTAATAAATTCCTACTTTATTCCTTTAGCACTGCCTAGCTTCTCTTTTCCAGGGAGCCTCTCAAGGCGTCACCTGTTCAACTTTGTTATCTTCACATTGGATTGACTAAATATTGCCTGAATTGAAATTCCTGTAGGTTTGTAGCACATTTTGTGCTCTCATTTGTTTCTGCTACTTCCTGGCTCAGGGTGAGAATAGGGAAGCAAAGGCAGAGGGAGAAGTGACCTTAATGCTTTTCTAGGAGTAGATGTGCTGGGCATGCAGAGGATGCTTTCAGTGACAATGGCATGGTGAATTTTGTAATAGCTCTGCAGGTGAAAAATGAGTCAGGCAGAATTGTTCTCCATCCAGGTAAAGGAGGAATGTGGTGTCATCATGCTTGTTTTGCAGTATTCTTGGAGGATTGTCATGCTGGACTCGGATGGGTTTGATTTTTTATATGAGAGACTCCCTTGGGTCACTTGGACTCTGGAGCCTTTTTTCTGTTAGATGTCTGCATGGGTGGACTCTTCTCTGATGTAACAAAGCTGTTCTTTACTATATGATTGCTTTGTGGATTTATTTCTGGGGTCGAGGAGAGAAAAAAAAAAAAAAGGAAAAAAAAAAAAAGATAATAGGCGAAAAAAAAAAAAAAAAGAGATCGAACAAGTGGAATAAGAAGAAGCAATGGAAGGAATCATAACAAGGAAGAGGAACGAGAACTTTATCCAAAGAACATGTTCACTGCGAGTATTATATAAACATTTGGAAAGAATATTAGTAAAGGAAATAGAAGCACATAAGAGATAAGGAAAGAAAATGAGAAGAAGGAGGTAAAAATATGAGAGTTAAGAGCATGAGGAAGACATAGGGAAAGTGAACCAGGAAATAGAAGAGAAAGATATAATAAAAGAAGGGAAACAATAACAGAAGTAAATGAAGGAGAAAGGAGAAAAGGATATAAAAAGGAAGGCGACTATAGAAGAAAAAAGTAAGAGAGAAAGGGAGCAAGGAAGTAACAAAGCAAGAAGAGAATGGAAAGAAAAGGAAGGAAGATAAAGGAGCTGATCAGCAGGCACCGACCTTATGTTTCCATGCTGAGAAGAGCAGGTCCGGAAGAGCCTTTCCCCGGCTGGAGCACCGCGCCCTGGCGCTGATATACCATAATTGGCACTGATAACTTCAGCATTGATGGTCTCCCCCAGGACGCAGGACGCAATGTCGAATTTCCTGCGCGAGTAAAGAAGAGCGAAGATTGCAAAGGAGGGAAAATGGTATAAAATCAGTGCAGGACAATAAAGCAAAAGGACAAGGAGGTGAGGAAACAATACAAAACAACGGAAAAACTAAAAAAGAAAGAGTAGAAAAGAGAAGGGAAAGGCAAACGGATGAAAACCAGAGAAATGACGGAAGGAAGAAAGGAAGGAGAAGATGAGGGAAAGAAATATAAACCTATGCAAGCGAACAGCAATCTATAAAGAAAAGGAAACAAGCAAAATAAGCGAAGGACAGAGGAAGAGACGGCAGAGGGGATGGCCTTAAAGGAGCGGAGGCGCTGTCGCTGTCGCGTGTGCGGCGGCGGAGCAGCGCACGGTGTCGCTGCAGGCTCAGGAACGGCTCCGTGTGGGCGGCTCCGCCCTGGTGCGGCGGAGAGCCCGGCTGTGAGCGCGGGGGGGCGGCGCGGGCCGGGCAGCAGAGCCGGTGCGTGCGGGCGGCGGCGGGGAGCCGTGCGGGGCCCGGGCCGGGGCCGGCAGCCACAGCGGCGGCGGCGGCGGCGGCGGCGGCCGGGAGGATGGGCGAGCGCTGTTGTGCGGCGGTGCTGCGGGTGCTGGTGCTGCTGCAGGCGGCCTGGGCGCTGGCGGGCGGGCAGGTGCGCTACTCGGTGCCGGAGGAAGCCAAGGCCGGCACGGTGGTGGGCCGTCTGGCGCAGGACCTGGGCCTGGAGGCGGGCGAGGCGGAGGCGCGGCGGCTGCGGCTGGTGGCGCAGGGCCGGCGGGCGAGCGTGGAGGTGAGCGGGGCGAGCGGCGCGCTGCTGGTGAGCTCGCGGCTCGACCGGGAGGAGCTGTGCGGCAAGAGCGCGCCGTGCGCGCTGCGCCTGGAGGTGCTGCTGGAGCGGCCGCTGCGCGTCTTCCATGTGCAGCTGGAGGTCACCGACATCAACGACAATGCCCCCGTCTTCCCCGCCGCCCGCAAAAACCTCAGTTTATCGGAGAACTCTCCTCCTGGGATCCGTTTCCCGCTGGAGGGCGCGTCGGATGCGGATATCGGAGCGAATGCGCAGCTCTCCTACACACTCAGCCCCAGCGAGTATTTCTCTCTGGATTTACAAAAATCGAATGAGCGGAATATTGAGCCTGAACTCGTTTTAACGAAATCTCTGGACCGCGAGACGATTCCCGTGCACCGGTTGGTGCTGACGGCGAGTGACGGGGGCCGGCCGTCTCTGACGGGCACCATGGAGCTGGTGATCTCGGTGCTGGACACTAACGACAACGCTCCCCAGTTCAACCAGTCGATGTATGAAGTGCAGCTGCCCGAGAGTGCTGTGGCCGGGACGCTGGTGACGAGGGTGAACGCCACCGATGCGGACGAGGGAATTAACAGTGAAGTGACCTATGCCGTTACGAATTTCATTCCCCCGAGTGGACGAGATGTGATTTCCATCAATGCTAATACCGGGGAAATTCACCTCACAGCAGCCCTGGACTTCGAAGAAGTCAATATATTTGATTTTCGTATTGAAGCGAGAGACAAGGGGACACCTCCACTGTCGGGTCACTGCAAGGTGGTGCTGGAGGTGCTGGACGTGAACGACAACGCGCCGGAGGTGTGGGTGACGTCGCTGTCGGTGCCGGTGCCCGAGGACGCGTCGGTGGGGACGGTGGTGGCCCTGCTGAGCGTGTCGGACCGGGACTCGGGGGAGAACGGGCGCGTGCGGTGCTGGGTGTGGCCGGCGTCGCCGTTCGGTCTGGAGGCGACGTTCGCGGGCTCGTACTCGCTGGTGCTGCGCGAGGCGCTGGACCGGGAGCGGGTGTCGGAGTACGAGGTGGAGGTGCGTGCGGAGGACGGCGGGGCGCCGGCGCTGCGCGCCAGCCGCGGGCTGCGGGTGCCGGTGTCGGACGTGAACGACAACGCGCCCGCGTTCGCGCAGGCCGTGTACACGGTGCTGGCGCGGGAGAACAACGCGGCGGGCGCGGAGCTGGCGCGGCTGTGGGCGCGGGACCCGGACGAGGCGGGCAACGGGCGCGTCAGCTACTCGGTGTGGGAGGGCGGCGCGGGCGTGGGCGGCGCGGCCGCGGGGTCGTCGTCGTCGTCGTCGGGCGGCGGGTGGCGGCCGGCGTCGAGCTACGTGTCGGTGGACGCGGAGAGCGGGCGTCTGTGGGCGCTGCAGCCCTTGGACTACGAGGAGCTGCAGGTGCTGCAGTTCGAGGTGCGCGCGGTGGACGCGGGGCAGCCGCCGCTGAGCGGCAACGCCACGGTGCAGCTCTTCGTGCTGGACGAGAACGACAACGCGCCGGCGCTGCTGCCGCCCGCGGGCTCGGCCCCGGAGGCGGGCGCCGTGGCGGCCGAGGCGGCGGCGGCGGCGGCGGCGGCTGTGGGGGCGGGCTCGGCGCCGGGCACGCTGTGGGCGTGGGCGGCGTGGGGGGCGCCGGCGGGGCAGGTGGTGGCCAAGATCCGCGCCGTGGACGCCGACTCGGGCTACAACGCGTGGCTGCGCTACGAGCTGTGGGAGCCGCGGGGCAAGGGCCCGTTCCGCGTGGGGCTCTACAGCGGCGAGGTGAGCACGGCGCGGGCGCTGGACGAGGCGGACGGGCCTCGCCACAGGCTGCTGATCGTCGTGCGCGACCACGGCGAGCCGGCGCGCTCGGCCACGGCCACGCTCAGCGTGTCGCTGCTCGAGGCGGCCGAGGCGGCGCTGGCCGCGGCCGCGGGATCCTCGTCGTCGTCGTCGTCGTCGTCGCTGTCGCGCTCGGCCGTGGGCGTGGAGCTGGGGCCCGGGGCGGCGAGCGCGGCCACCAACGTGTGGCTGGTGGTGGCCATCTGCGCCGTGTCCAGCCTGTTCCTGCTGGCCGTGGTGCTGTACGGGGCGTCGCGCTGGGCGCCGCGGGCGGCCGTGCTCTCGGGGCCCGGCCCCACGACGCTCGTGTGCGCCAGCGAAGTGGGCAGCTGGTCGTACTCGCAGCGCCACAGCCGCAGCCTGTGCGTGGCGGACGGCGCCGCCAAGAGCGACCTCATGGTTTTCAGCCCCAACTTCCCTCCGCCGCCGCCGCCCGGCCCCGCGCCCAAGGACACGCAGCCGGAGCCCTCCGCTCTCCTCGACACGGTCAGTGGCAATACCTTGCTCGCCTTTACTCTTTCGCTTCCCCCTCTGCCAGGTGTCGCCCGACCCCTGGGCTGTTCCTGTTTGTAGCTTGGCTGCGCCCCCATGGTCTGAGAGCCTCCTAATATTGGCTGAATCTTAAAAATGTTAACGGCACCTTTGCATCTGCCTCGCCTCCTTGTCGGAGCCCCCCATCTGTTACCGAGGTGGGGAAATGTCTTCTGGCATCCCGCAGCCATTTACGGACCGTACCTGAGGTTTTTTGCTCCGAGTGCGAGTTGTTCTCTCTTAGATTTGCTCTCCTGTAGAAATAAATCTCTGTTGTTTATGGTAATAGGGGCGCCGAGGTGTCAGCTCTGCAGGCAACGCTGTTGCTCGCTGGTGTGTAGCATTCTAACCCGGTCCTGTTGAAGGAGGTGAAAACACACAGGCTGTAGTGGTGACAATCCCCCAGGCACCATGTGCCACTTAACTGTCTTCAGTCATTGCTGACTGTGCTGATATCAGCATTGTCAAAAATTGAGCCCTCTTCCCCTCCAGTGCAAGTGGTGCTGAAAGGCTCCAGTTGAGGCCTCCAGGTTTTCTCTCCCCATGGTGTGATTTTTCCCCATTGATTCTCCCAGCAGATTGATTATTGTACCTGGGAAGGCCTTCTTGGACTTTTCCCGTTTTCTTTTTCCAGTGTGTTGTTTTTCTAGATTGCATTATGAACTGTTTATGCAGAGGTTGGAGATTCAGAGTTGGAGTATAAAAAAGAATTTCTTTTTCACAAGTCCCTCCCCCCGCAAAATCATTCTGTGTACTTTTGTTTGTGGCTGGAGATGACACTTGCCTCTCTCGATTTTCTTTCAATACTGGTATCACCACTGCCAGAGTCGTGAATTATCTGGAAACATTCTCTTAAAAAACGCATGAATATACCTGTGTGGATATTATCCCTTACACTGCTGTGGTCATCAGCATTTGTTTTTTCCCATGAGATCATGAAATTAATGCTCATTGTCATTAGAGATATCCTGATATCATGTCTACAAATAGATGTCTAACATTTCAGGAGAGGAACTTGCAGGTGATTAGGATTTCCATCCAGAATAGCTGAAGCATTAGGAAGCACAAAGGGCCAACTACAGGGATTCTGCTGAGCACAGCATATATAATATCAGGTGTATGGGGGTTTTGTTCTGTCATTGGTGGAATGGTTGTAGGTTTGCATTCCTCAACAAGAATTTGCATGATGAACACTGGCTTTTTGTGGTATTCTTGGAATATCATAACAAGTATCAGGAACTGCGTCCTTTCAAAAGCCCCGGGAAGTTACCAACAAAGAATGAGCTCAACCAACCAACCAACCAAGCACCAAAATCCCTAATAACAAAACCTGAAACATGAATTCACCTACAGAAACAATATAATCCTTTACATTGGGGTGTTTGTCAAATGATTGAGTTATTCTCTCACAACATGAAATCAATGCCATTGCCCTTTGGAGTTATTCTGACATCACCTTTAGAAAGAGCAGAGTGCTGGGCATGGTCTGTGTGATACCATCTGTATGTTTTTTTATGGTGCTCTCATTGCTGGCAATTGCTGCAGTGAGCCCTGTGGAGGCAAAGAAGGCAGTGACAGGTTGCAGAGGTGATTGTGGCCGTGGCATTGTGCAGGTCCTGGCCATTTCCTGAAATCAAGGTTGACGTTGAGAAGTGAGATTTGTCCAATGGAGTTGAAAGCCCTTGGGAAGACCATGGATCATGCCATGAGACAATCCTCTAGGTACTATTGACTGTGCTGTTACTGTTGCTGTCTGCTGACCATGCTGGGATTTAGTGTGGTTTCTTATGAAGAGCTCTGTACTCTTCTTTGACTCTCCTCAATAGAGAGGTGGTGCCTCTCTGTCCTCATGGCGTAATTTCTTCCATTTGCTTGGCTCACCTGAGTGATTGTGAAAGCAGGGGAGTTCTTAAACGCTTCTCCTGTGATTTTTCTCCAAGTAGGTTTTTATTCTAGTTACCAGTAGAAAGTGTGCAGGCCGAGGAGGGTGACCTAAAGTGTATGTTTTCTTTGTTTTGTCTTGCCTTTCTGAAGTGCATTGCAGCTTGATTGTCCCATGAGGTGGCATGACCATACACTATCCTGTTTTCATGTTATGCTAATATTTGCATCAGCAGCCACACCCTTAAAAAACCCCTGGAAACCCTCTTTTCAAAAAAAAAAAAAAAAAAGAAAAAAAAGCCCCACAGCCTCAAAAATTCAAGCCATACCAAACACCACATTTTCCTGTGTAGTAGGTACCATTGTTGGCACTGATGTATTTTTCAGCATTTGGGCTGGTCTTTCACAGCATGCTGTCAAAGGCCATTGCCTTTAGAGTTGTCCTGACATCCCCTCTATAAATAGTATTCTCCAAAGTGGGTGATGTTTCCACCTGAGACTGGGGAAGCCACAGGAGCTGAGGTGAACATGGCAGTGGTGCTGAGTAGGTCCTGACCATGTCATAATATGAAGTGTGACCTCGCAGTCTGTGGGAACTGGAAATCCTTGGGAAGACCACGGGCCATGTCATAAGAGGACAAGAATGTGAGATGATGTTCTTGTCTTGAGAACACATTCCCAGAGGAGGGAATGGAGGATGCCTAGAGAAAATGATGAGGCAGGATGGGCACAGGTTTCCTTCCCCAGATCCATTCCTAAAGGTATGGAGTTGAAGGCCTTCTGGGTATTGAGTTAATTCCATGGTAGTTTACTGCCCATCATGTCCTTTGAGGTTATGAATATTTCCCACCAGAGACAGTGCCCTGTGCTGCTGCCTGCCTGAGGCAGACAAGGCATCAGGAAAGAGGGCGTGGCAGGCAAACTGCTGACTAATTCCCAAAGAACTTTTTGATTCCTGTTTTGGACAACCTTTTCTAGGAGGGTAGCACTTCAGCCTCCTGTCCTTGTATCATGGTGGGCATCTATAGTAACTTCCCCAGCCACAGATCTTTCCATGATGGTTCCTTGGTCCTCCTCAGGCTAATTATTAAGGACACATGATAATGTGGATCTCATTTTTGTGCATTCAGCTTCCCAGACTTGTGGACCTGAAAATTTGCCCTTGGTAGAAGTTAGGTGTCCCGTGGTCACAGGTGGCTCATTCTATGTCTGATGTAGACACAAAACCCTTCACAGCAACCCAGCTGTGGTTCTCCATGGTACAAATTCTCCCCTCCTTCTGATATTATAGGGTGCACTTGTGCTTTGGCATTTGCTGTCATTCTCTCAAAGTGCAAAATCCATGTGGACCGGGGTGAGAACTGACATGCCTTTATGTCATAAAGTTCTTAAGAAGTCACTTCTTATGTTCTCTGGTGTTTCCACCAGAGATTGCTGAAAAGGCATAAACCATGAACTATATGCAGAGGAGAAGAATCTGCTGGACAGATTTGGGGTGGCTTCATATCCCCCCATGTGTTCTTTGTGCCAATTGTAAGGGAAGGTGAGGATATGCAAAGGACATTCCAATAGCAGGTTTTGTGGTATTATGGAAGAGTTTGTGCAAGTGGCACCAGGAATGGCCTGGGCATGTGTTGTGATGAGGGTGGCCTTTAGTAGGGAAGAGTCTTGCCTGAGGGAGATGATGTGCAGAACACAGTCTGTGCTTTGGTGAAGGACTGGAGAGTGTGTGCTTAGGTGGAGTTGCCATATCCCAGGGTGTGAGACAGAGGATTCTAGTAGCAAATATCAAGAAGAGGCTCCACAGATATTTACTAATACCTAGAATTTCTCCAGCTCACCAAAAGTTCTGCATATCCTTAGGTCCTGTTGTTCCCTTCATGCCTTTCAATACAGTGGAATTGGATCATTTGGCTTTCTTCTCCCTTCTTTCCAAAGCCTCACAGTCTTGTTTTTCTGTCTCTCATGTCAGCAATGTGTTGGTAATACCAGATAATATGAGATACTGAGCTTTGGCACCTGTCTGGTTGCAAACATTTGGGTAATTTTCTGTCAGTGTGTAGGATGACTTTTCCATGCTCCTGAGCTGAGGCTGATGTTGACACAGTTTCCTTCCTTAGCTTTGTGGTGCCTCTTCCCCATGATAGAAGTGCACATGGGAGCACTGTGCTTTGCCCAGTGATTTCAAGGCTTTTCTGGAATGCATGTAACTATTTCCTATCCACCGTTCCCAATACTCTCTGTTGGTGTTAGAACCAGTCTCCTGCTCTGAAAATATTTCTCTCCTGAAGAAGCAAACAGTGATACTACAGGTAAGTCACTTCTTGCTGAAGAAGATGAGTCTGAGAGACAGCTCTACCTTCATGCCTATTTAGTTGTGCTATATTCTTGGATTGACCGAGTGTGTCTAGATTGGGATTTAGACTCGACACTCCTTGTGGCTTCCTTCCAACTTGAAATATTCTGTAATTCCTAGATTGGACCAACAAGTCCCCACAGTCTGCTCTCATTTCTTTCTTGCTTCATCCAGCATGTTTTGAGCAGTTGGCAGCAAGCAGAGATGGAGGAGGGCCTCTAATGCATTTCTCAAAACAGATGTGTTGGGAGTGGAGAGCTTGTTCTCGGGGAAAATGCCGTGGGTTTAGGTTCATAGGTATTTCTGGGTGGATCACGGTATTGAGTGAGAGCTGTTCACTGGGGGCTAATGCCCCTGAGGGTGGAAGTTCTTGCTGTGTTTTTCTGGCAGAGCTTATCTGCCTGAGAGGAGAGGCAAGAGCTTGTCATTCATCAAGCAGGTGGAAAATGAGGCAGGAAGAGCTGCTCTTCATTGAAATACATGAAGAATTCTTAGGAACTGTGGTTGCACTGTGCTTTTTCAGTGTTCGTGGCAGAATGGTGTGCTGAGCTGTGAGATGATATTTGAGTTCTGAAGTGAGAGGATTTCATGGATTGTTTGTGCTTATTGGAGCCTGTTTGCACTGATGTCAAAGTACTTGGGGATTGGTCTTCTGATTCCAAGGGAGGTGTATGCTTTTTGTGGTGTAGTGCAGCTGTTCTTTGTCTTGTCATTGCCTTGCTGTGTTATTTGCTGGTCCTGGAGGGGACTGGGGTCTGAGGAGTGTGGGTTTCTTCCTGATGGGGAGGGAAGGGGAGAGGAGGTGTAGGACAATCTATTGACTTTTTCTGGTGGAGATCAGGACAGTGGTTCCTCATCAGGAGGCATGCAAGGTTCCCATGAGCACTCTCATCAAAGGACAGGCTGATGCATGAAGAGGATGATGTAGACATTTAGAAATCATTTTGTTTAGAAAACATTTTGTGACAGGGGAAAAAACGTATGGATGCAGAGGAATGAAAGAGGATAGTGTTAGGCATGAAAAAAAGGAAGAGAAAGAAAATAAAGGTAAGTAAAGAATAGAGAAAGGAAGAGGAAGAAAAAAAAATCTCTGCAAATAAAAAATCGAGCAAGAAAGGAAAGAAGTGATGACAAAAGAAAATTATAAGCATGCACCAACATTTTCTCTACATTTCCTCTGCATGATCTCTGCAGTCGAGGACCTCTGTATCCTTGGTACTGAGGAGCCCTGTGCAAGCCTCGATGAGAAGTATTGAGGAAGAAAAGGTTTTGTGTAACTGTATATCTGCACTCCATAGCGAGAATGATGTAGTCATGTAGAAAATACTGTATTAAAAGAGAAAGAGAATAGGCAAAGAGGGAAGAAGAGACAGTGAGGGAAGGACAAGGAAAAGGAAAGAAAAAGAGAAAAGAAAACAAAGCAACGAAAGAATGAAAAAGAAATGGAGAGAAAAAGAAAAAAGGAAAGATGAAACATTAAATAAATTTGCTAACGTACAGCAATGTTATCTCCGTACACAAAAAAGTTGGGATGAAGTGGGGGAGAGAGAAAAAAAAAAACTAAAAGAAGAAAGGAAGGTGACAAAGAGGGGAAATCAAGAGGGGCTATGTCAAGGAGAATACCAGGATAAAAGATGTTCTTTTCTGACGCTGAGGGAAGTTGGTCTTTTGTGCTCTCCCCATTGGCTACTGTCCCGTGCAAAGGAGATAGCGATGCCCTGTAATTAGAGCTCACGGCTCCGACATTCATTGCCTCGATCACACCATGGGAGGACACCGGCACTTTGACAGCAGAGTTATAAAAGATGGATGGAAATAAAAGAAAAAAGGCAGTAAAAATTGGACAGGCAGAAAAAGGAGAAAATAAAGAACAGAAGAAAGAAGCAAAAAAGAAGAAAGAACAAACAGATGGAAGGCCAAAAAAAGAGTAAAATAATAAAAGAGTGACGGGCACCATGGAGCTGGTGATCTCAGTGCTGGATGCGAACGACAACGCCCCCCAGTTCAACCAGTCTGTGTATAAAGTGCAGCTGGGAGAGAGTGCTGCGGCCGGGACGCTGGTGACGAGGGTGAATGCCACGGATGCGGACGATGGAATTAACAGAGAGGTGACCTATGCCGTGACGAACTTCATTCCCCTGAGTGGAAAAGATAAGTTTTCCATTAATGCGAATACCGGGGAGATTCACCTCACGGGAGACCTAGACTTCGAAGAAGTCAAGGTATTTAATTTTCGTATTGAAGCGAGAGATCAAGGAATTCCTCCGCTGTCAGGTCACTGCAAGGTGGAGCTGGAGGTGCTGGACGTGAACGTCGGAACCCTCTGCTCTCCTCGGCACGGTCAGTGGTACTGCTTTGCTCGTCTTTCTCCCCTGTCCTACCCTTCATGTCCCGCCAGGTGTGCAGGCTCTGCGGGAATCCGTGCTCCCTTTTCCAAGGCCGCAGAACGACGAGTGCTTAGGAATATCAACGGCTCATTTGCGAGTGCCCTTAGGGGGAATAGAGAGTTATTGCCGCAGGCTGGCGCAGTTATGGTCCGCAGCTGCAGTTTGCTGCTCTGTCTGTAAACTCTTCTGGGGTAGAATGAAATCACTGCTGATTGCGATGAGAGGTGCCCCACGGTGTCAGGTTTGGAGACACTCTTGCCTGGTTGTGTGTAGCATTTCCATCCGATAATTTTGCTGAAGGATCAGAAGATATGTAGGTTGAGATATTTGCAGTTCCCAGGGACCATGTGTTATCTTGTTTCCTTTGCTATCTGCTGACCGTGCTGGTATTAGTCCAGTTTCTTATGGAAAACTGTTCTCCTCTAATTCTCCTCACAAGAATGTCTTATATAAGGTGATATTTGTATTTTCTTGGACAAAAGTTCTCTATTTTCATTCTACCACCAGACTCATTAAGAAAGTAGGGAAGGTGTGACTAACATTTCCATGTTTCCACGATCTTTTCCCACGTATTATGTTGCTTTCATTAGTTGCATAAAGTGTAGGGTCAGAGGGGTATGGCCCAAGGAAAGTGTAACAAGGAAGAAAGTTTTTTCTATTCCTGCTGCACCTGTTCCCAAGGTTGTGGATTTATGAACCTGGCCTGAGAAATGGCATGAAATACATTGGCCTGTTTTGGTGTTCTTTCAAAATTTACATCAATGGTGACATCATTTCAAAAGCCCTTCTGTAGATCTCTTCTGTAATGAAGAAACAAAGTAACAACCCCAAAAATTAAAGAACCACCATTCCCCCCAACAAGTCTCAAATAACACTCTCCTACACAGTAACTATCGTGTGTTACACTGGTGTTCCCACCAACAATTTGGGTTTTTTCTCAGAGCATGACATCAACGTCATCACCACGTAGAGTGGCCCCAATATCATCTTTAGAAAGAGTTTTGCTCCCGGGTCTGACTTGTTTCCATCTGAGATAGCTGAAACATTACAAAACAAGAAATGTCAGCATCAGAGTTTCTGCTGTAAGCTGCACTGATGGTGCCATCCCTGAGTTTGTTATTGTGCTGTCATTGTTGAGACGGAAAAGCAAAAACTGTGTTCAGCCTTGAGATAGGAAAGGCAACTGTGGTCTGTGACAACTGAGTAGAGCCTGGCCATTTCCTTATCTGGAGGGTGACCTTGCGAAGTGGGAAAGCATGGTTTTGAGGAGGCAGCACATCTATGGGAAGGCCATGGGTCATGATGTAAGAAAAGAATATGAGACTCTGTGTTTGTCATGGGAACACATCTCAGAGTGGTGAGTGGAGGATGCCCTAAAGGAAAGTGTGAGAAACAGAATGCTCTTGCCAAGGGTCATTTCCCAGGCCCTAAGGGTCTGGAGTGGGACACCTTCCTGATCATGAGACACTGTGTGATACTGAAATGCTCACAAATGTTCCTTTGAGGTTCTCAGTATCTTTCCTCAGAGACAGGCCCCTGTGCTGCTGCTGCTGCTGCCTGGTGTAGGCCATGTGTTAGTAAGAGCTGGTGAGATGGAGAATGTTCAATGTTGTCTGATGAGCTGCTTGTTTCAGAAATGCTGTTGTGGAAGGGGAACTCTTCAAGCTGCTGTCCTGGTGTAGTGCTGGGCATTCACAGCTGTTTTCACAGCCATTGGTGTTGCCACGATGGTTCCTTGCCTCCTCCTCAGGTGGGATTTATAAGGACACACGATGAGTCTGTATTCTTTATGTGCTCCACTTCCCCTACTTGTGCACTGCACAGGCGGCCTCAGGAGAAATGATCTGTCCTGATGTCACACAGGGCTCCTTCTGGTATTTGCAGGTGCAAACCTGCACTGCAGCCCAGCTCTGGTTTCATGTGCTACAAATTCTCCCACTCAGCTGGCCTTGGGAGTTTTTTTGTGCTTTGGCATTTTCTGTGGTTCTCTTGATGATATAAAGATGTGTGGACTAGGATCAGAGCTGTCACAATTCTAATCACAGAATCTTCATGAACTCTAAATACAGCTTTGTGGTGTTTCCACCTGAGGTTGCTGAAAAGGAGCAAAGCATTGGTGGTGAGCAGGCGGCTGGGGAGAGCCTGCCAGCTGCTGTGTGGCTTTGCAGCCCTCAGTATTTTCTCTAGGCCAGTCGTGAGGGAAGAGGAGGATGCAGGAAGAATTGAATCCCACGCAGAGCAGAGTTTACAGCTGGGTCATATTGCTGGGTTCTAGCAATGTTTGATATTTTGGCAGGGTCCCTGCATGTGGCACTAAATAGAGCCTGGACCCATGAGGTGGGGAGGGTGAGTTTGAGCGGGGAAGAGTGTTGCCTAAGGAAAATGTGGGTACTGGGTGGAACACAATCGATGTCATTGTGGAGGAGTTATGTAGATCTCATTTCACATGGCATAGGATGAAGACTATAAGTACCACGCCTCGAGAAAAAGCCCATGTGCATAGGGCTGCTCCCCTGGGATGCTCTCAAGACCTCCAGTAGTTCTGCATATTCTTGTGCTCTCTTGTTGCCTGTGACATTGCTGCTTGTGACATTACCTGCCATACATGCCTAATAATGCTTGTGTTTTGTGTGGCATGGTGTCGGTCAAACAGAAGGTTTTTCAAATTTGTATCGTGCCAGCCTTCTTGGAATGTTACCTCGGTTATTTCTCTGGTCTTGGTCTTGCTAGGGACAGGAAATTGCTGGTGACATCAAGGGGCACGGTCCCTTAAAACCAACACTCCTGGTCCTGGCGTTTCTTTTCCTGAAAAAGTAACCAGCAATGCTACAGGTGAGTTGCTTGTACCTGAAGAAGTTGTGTGTGAGAGGTAAATGTATTTTGGTTCCTGTTCAGCTGTGGTATCTTCCTATTGGATCGACTGAGTTGCCTGGATTGAAAGGTCTGTGGGTTTGGAGCACCACTGCCTGCTTCCATTCCTTTCCTGTTGCTGCCTGGCACAGGGTGAGCAGGTGGAAGCAAGGACAGAGGGAGAAGTGACATTAATGTATTTTTTGGGGTAGATGTTGTTGGGCATGCATGAGGTATTCTCAGTGGTAATGCCATGGTGTTACATTTGTGGCTTTGGGTTGGATTTGCAGGTGGAACATGAGTCAGGAGGAAGAGCTCTTCATAGAATGTAGGAGCATTGCTCGAGTGTGATGTCATTGAGCTTTCGTGACACTGGAGGATCATTGTGCTGGGCTGTGATGGGTTCAAGTTCCCCGAATGAGAGACTTGTCCATGTTGTTGGGAATCTTTGGAGACACTTTCATTAGATGTCTCAGCAGCTGTTTTTCTGGCTTTTGGGTCAGAGGTTGGTGGAACCTGTTCTGATGTAGCAGAGCTGTTCTTTGCCACCTGACTGCTTTGCTGTGCTATTGCAGGTCCGTGAGAGGACTGGAGGCTGAAGAGTGTGGCCTTTGTTCTAAAGGGAGGGGAATTTGCAGGTGCGTGGGTGGGAGGTAAGCAGATATGTTGTTCGTTGTTCCCTATCCACAGGGACAGGAGGTAGCAGGGAAGAGACATGAGAACTCTGGCCCGAGGGCATGTCTGTGGTTTGTGGCAGAGGTGCTGCAGATATCTCCAGTATATTTTGTTGAAAGAAAAAAATGAAGGGAAGTTACAAGGATGGAAGCAGAAAACATGAAAGGCAATATCATGGTGCAAAGAATGATGAAAGAAAACAAAGATAAAGGAAGAGAGAGAGAAGAAAAAGAGACAGGAAGAAAGAAGTAGAAAAGAAGATTAAAAAATTAAATATGGACTTGAAGGAATCAGTGTCAAAAAAAAAAAAAAAAAAAAAGAGATCTTTTTCCAAAGGACATTTACATTGTTCGTTGTGAGCACGTTGAAAACATTTTGGCCATGGAAAAAAAGAAGAACAATAGACAAGGTGGAATGAGCAGAGGAGGGGGCAAAACAGGACATGGATAAGTAGGAAAGAAAAGACAGGAAAACAGAACAAGGAAATAGAAGGGAAAGAGAGAGAACAGAAGGGCAAAAAAGAAATAGGAAATGGACGAAAGAAGAAGATTTAAAAGCAAGTAAGGAGCTTATGCAAGTAAAAATAAAGCCAGAAGGGAAGTGAGGGAGAAAAGTACATGACAGAAAAATAGAAGAGACGATACAGCAGATGACCGGAACGCACCTACCTCTGCCGACAGAGTTCGTATTGGTACATAACAAAACTCCATCATGGTCACAGCATCGGCGCTGATGACTCCGACTTCGATGATCAGTGCCGCGCTGCTGGAGGCAACTGAGACCTTTCCAGTGCGGCTAAAAATGGTGGAGGATGGAAACAGAAAAAAAAAACGTAGTAAAGGAAGGGGAGCGACAGGACAATGACGAAGAAGAAAAAGAAGGAAAAGAAGACGGAGAGGGAGAAAAAAGAAGAATAGAAAGACGGGGGGAAAGTAGGACAGATAAGGGAAAAGAAAGGAATAAAAAGAGGGAATTGAATGAAGAAAGAAACATGAAGTAAGACAGACGAAGTAAGAACAAGACATGAAGGATTGTTTACAGGGAAACAGCGAGCGATACAAAACATGAATAATAAAAAGAAAGAAAATCGTAGTAGGAAGAAACAGCAGCGGAGATGGCCAAGACGGAGCGGAGGCAGAGGCGCTGTCGCCTCTGTGTGCGGCGGCGGAGCAGCGCACGGTGTCGCTGCAGGCTCAGGAACGGCTCCGTGTGGGCGGCTCCGCCCCGGTGCGGCGGAGAGCCCGGCTGTGAGCGCGGGGGGGCGGCGCGGGCCGGGCAGCAGAGCCGGTGCGTGCGGGCGGCGGCGGGGAGCCGTGCGGGGCCCGGGCCGGGGCCGGCAGCCACAGCGGCGGCGGCGGCGGCGGCGGCGGCCGGGAGGATGGGCGAGCGCTGTTGTGCGGCGGTGCTGCGGGTGCTGGTGCTGCTGCAGGCGGCCTGGGCGCTGGCGGGCGGGCAGGTGCGCTACTCGGTGCCGGAGGAAGCCAAGGCCGGCACGGTGGTGGGCCGTCTGGCGCAGGACCTGGGCCTGGAGGCGGGCGAGGCGGAGGCGCGGCGGCTGCGGCTGGTGGCGCAGGGCCGGCGGGCGAGCGTGGAGGTGAGCGGGGCGAGCGGCGCGCTGCTGGTGAGCTCGCGGCTCGACCGGGAGGAGCTGTGCGGCAAGAGCGCGCCGTGCGCGCTGCGCCTGGAGGTGCTGCTGGAGCGGCCGCTGCGCGTCTTCCATGTGCAGCTGGAGGTCACCGACATCAACGACAATGCCCCCGTCTTCCCCGCCGCCCGCAAAAACCTCAGCATTGCAGAGTTATCTACAATGCCCGGGTCTCGTTTCCCGCTGGAGGGCGCGTCGGATGCGGATATCGGAGCGAATGCGCAGCTCTCCTAGCAAAAACCTCAGCATCGCGGAACTGACTACTCCGCCAGGGTCTCGTTTCCCGCTGGAGGGCGCGACGGATGCGGATATCGGAGCGAATGCGCAGCTCTCCTATACACTCAGTCCCAGCGAGCATTTTAGAATAGAGGAAGAAAACAGCAACTCTCGCAGTATGTCCCTGTTTCTGGTGCTCAGGAAATCTCTAGACCGCGAGACGATTCCCGTGCACCGGTTGGTGCTGACAGCGAGTGACGGGGGCCGGCCGTCTCTGACGGGGACCATGGAGCTGGTGATCTCGGTTCTAGACGTTAACGATAATCCGCCCCAGTTCAACCAGTCCGTGTATAACGTAGTTTTGTCCGAAAACGCATTAGAGGGGACGCTTGTAGCGCGGGTGAGTGCCACAGATTCCGACACGGGAATATATGGTGAAATTATATATGAGATCGATACTGTTGTTCCACCCTCAGCAGGAACTTTATTCAGCATCCATGCAAATAGTGGAGAGATCAGACTGTCAGGCGCCCTAGACTTCGAGGAAGTTACTTTATACGAACTACAAATTCAAGGGACAGACAAGGGTACGCCCCCACTGTCGGGTCACTGCAAGGTGGTGCTGGAGGTGCTGGACGTGAACGACAACGCGCCGGAGGTGTGGGTGACGTCGCTGTCGGTGCCGGTGCCCGAGGATGCGTCGGTGGGGACGGTGGTGGCCCTGCTGAGCGTGTCGGACCGGGACTCGGGGGAGAACGGGCGCGTGCGGTGCTGGGTGTGGCCGGCGTCGCCGTTCGGTCTGGAGGCGACGTTCGCGGGCTCGTACTCGCTGGTGCTGCGCGAGGCGCTGGACCGGGAGCGGGTGTCGGAGTACGAGGTGGAGGTGCGTGCGGAGGACGGCGGGGCGCCGGCGCTGCGCGCCAGCCGCGGGCTGCGGGTGCCGGTGTCGGACGTGAACGACAACGCGCCCGCGTTCGCGCAGGCCGTGTACACGGTGCTGGCGCGGGAGAACAACGCGGCGGGCGCGGAGCTGGCGCGGCTGTGGGCGCGGGACCCGGACGAGGCGGGCAACGGGCGCGTCAGCTACTCGGTGTGGGAGGGCGGCGCGGGCGTGGGCGGCGCGGCCGCGGGGTCGTCGTCGTCGTCGTCGGGCGGCGGGTGGCGGCCGGCGTCGAGCTACGTGTCGGTGGACGCGGAGAGCGGGCGTCTGTGGGCGCTGCAGCCCTTGGACTACGAGGAGCTGCAGGTGCTGCAGTTCGAGGTGCGCGCGGTGGACGCGGGGCAGCCGCCGCTGAGCGGCAACGCCACGGTGCAGCTCTTCGTGCTGGACGAGAACGACAACGCGCCGGCGCTGCTGCCGCCCGCGGGCTCGGCCCCGGAGGCGGGCGCCGTGGCGGCCGAGGCGGCGGCGGCGGCGGCGGGGGCGGGCTCGGCGTCGGGCACGCTGTGGGCGTGGGCGGCGTGGGGGGCGCCGGCGGGGCAGGTGGTGGCCAAGATCCGCGCCGTGGACGCCGACTCGGGCTACAACGCGTGGCTGCGCTACGAGCTGTGGGAGCCGCGGGGCAAGGGCCCGTTCCGCGTGGGGCTCTACAGCGGCGAGGTGAGCACGGCCCGAGAATCCCTCTTTCTGGTACTCACGAAATCTCTGGACCGCGAGACGATTCCCGTGCACCGGTTGGTGCTGACAGCGAGTGACGGGGGCCGGCCGTCTCTGACGGGCACCATGGAGCTGGTGATATCGGTTGAGGATGCAAATGACAACGCGCCCCAGTTCAACCAGTCTGTGTATAAAGTGCAGCTGCCGGAGAACGCTACGGAGGGAACGCTGGTGGTGAGGGTGAATGCCACGGATCCGGATTTGGGAAGTAATGGTGAAGTAACTTTTAGCGTGAGCAATACTTTTCCTGAAAAGGGGATGAACAGCTTCCTTTTAAATGCGAGGACGGGTGAAATTCATTTGGCGGGCAACGTGGACTATGAAGAGTTTCGTTTATATGAGATACAAATGGAAGCGAGGGATAAGGGGACGCCCTCTTTGTCGGTTTCTCTGCTCCTTTTTATCCGCCCTCTTGAGAAGCTGCTGTTTGAAGGCGGGCTGAGTTCCCAAGACTTATGGATCTTGGGTACCTAGCCGGTCCTTGAGAATGACAATGGCACGTTTGCATCTGTCACGGAGAGCTTGCTGGAAGCCCCAGCTCTTTCTGGGGTGGGTCCAGAATATAGATAAGGCAGCATCCTCGAGCAGTTATTGTAGGCAGGTGCGGTTTGGTCCTCTAAACCTGAGTAGTTGCACTCTAGAATTAAATTACTATTCTGTGCGACAAGAGATGGCCGGAGAGGTGAGATTTGCAGACAGCAAGGGGTTCTGTTTTTGATGTGCGGCATTACCACCTGAGTTGAGTGAAGGAGTTCAAGACAGCCAGGCTGTGTTCATGACAGTCTCGCAGTGGCTGTATACGACCTCATTGCCTTTGCTGACTGTTGATTTGCTGGCTGATTTTCATTTGTCTTTTTGTTGAAAATTGCTCTCCACTTTTTGATTATGGTCATGTGAAGGTATGATGCATGGTGAAAAGTGAATATTGCAGGACAAAAGTTCTCTATTGTCGTTCTACTTGAGACTAAATTAGAAAACAGGGTAGTTGTGGCAGATATTTCCCATGATCTTCCTATGATTTTTTGCAAGTATCATGTTCTGATTAGTAGTATAAAGCATTGAGGGAGAAATGTGTGACCCAATGTATGTGTTTCAAAAGGGAAATTTATATGTTGTTTTCCTGCAGCCCACGTTCTTCAGGATTTGCATTTCTGACCAGAGATGTAGTGTGAAGTACATTGTCCTTCTTAAATGTTCTCTCAAATTTTGCATCAATAGTTACATCACTGATCAATACTTAGAGGGGCTTTAAAAATGGAGATTTTCTCTTTTGTAATGAACAAAAAAAAATAGCCTCCAAAATCCAAGAATCACCTTTCCCCACCAATTCTCTAGAAACATTCTCCACCACAGGCAGTATCAGGTATTAGAATAGTGCTCTTGCCACAGTTTTTTATCTTGAAGCACAAAATCAATGCTATTGCTGTTTAGAGGTTCCAGCATCAACTTTGAGAATTGTATTCCCCGTAAGGAAGCATTACAAAACTTGAGGTGTCGGCAGCAGAGCATCTCTTATGCACTGTGTTGGTGATACCATCATCAACATGGATTTTTATGGAGTGTCATTGCTGGGTAGGATAAGCAACGTTCGTGTTGAACCTTGTGTTAGGAAAGGAAACTGTGATCTGTTGTATGGAGTAGGGCCTGGCCCTTGTCCGCTGGGAAGGGTGACCATGAGCTGCAGAAAGACTTGTGTGGGGAAAGGGAAAATCCTTGGGGACACCATGGATTGTGTCATGAGAAAATATCATGAGGTTCTATATTTCACTTCAGAACATGTCTTGGAGAGAGGGAGCGAAGGATTCGTACAGGAAAGAGTGAGACAGGATGGGAGCAGAGTGTTCTTGTTGAGGATGCTTTCCTACTTCCTAAGGGTCTGGAGTGGGAGGCCCAACTGATAATCGTGCTGATATTCATTTGT